GAGATGAAAATGAAACTTATTACACGTGTCCAGTCGTTCGAACATCTTAAACCACCTGGTTCAGTCAATTCTTGACTAGTAGTTCCTCCCAAGTTCATTAGAAACATTTTATTTCTGTCCGATACTTTATATGATTAAATTTACTGTATCAAAAGATTTCAGAATGCTTTACAGTGGAATAACAGATCAATAATTATAGCAAGCTTGATTCGTTCGACTTTGTTAATCCTTAAAGCTATGTTAATATAAGTGAAATTCCAGTCACTCTTCAAAAATATCCATTCGACAGAAACAACTGGCTTTTTACTGGGTTTTTTAGAAATCATTGTCCTTGAAGTCAGGATCGCGGAGTATTTTCTTAAGTAATTGAGCTTACGATGCATCTCAATTGTGGAACTTAGATTTAATAATGAACCCTGTAGACAAAGCTCTGGAGTAGAGGTGAGTTCATCACTAGGCGTTCTTTTGACCAATTCTCTCATGGTTACTTGCAGGAACGTTTAACTACGGCCGTTTATCAACCAGCATAAAAGACACGTGGATGAAACTTTATTCATACAAGATGAAAAAGCTACTCTTAAGGCATACTATGGAAGTTTAGTGACTTTCAAAAAGTAATTAAATTTATTGCAGAAACCAAACAAAACCCAGCAGTTCACCTCCTGAACTATCTGTTCAAAAGAAGATATAATAGTTGCCTAAGAGATCTGATTAGTAAGTAACAAACCTAGAACAGGCAATGGACCATATCATAGAATCCACCAGGCCACCAAGAAAATTCAGTTCACTCACAATGGGCAAGAGTTATAAGAATTTGAATAGATCATGTGTGTGATAAATGTCCTCTGATTTTAATGGTCATTCACAACCGCACAATGGGAAAGAGTAGATATCAGGGGAGTACACTAGGTCCTTAATGGACAGTTAAATATCCCAGTGGTGTTGGATGAAGTTTGAGTGAGCATTTTGTATCCATGATGAGACTTCATTAGTCTCCAACCCAGCAAGACTGGTTTGACTCACAAGTAAATGAATATAGAAGCATCCAACTACTTCATTCTCTTTTGTTACACTAAGCACCGGTGCAGACCAGTTCTGCAGCAACAGTTCACATTTCAGTGGTGTGAAATGAATACTAAAGTTGCCATTCAAAGTATGTGGAAGACCCTACATCTTATCAACATCACCTAACAGGATAACGTCATCTGCACATTCTAAATCTGTTAAAGAATCTCCTGTTTCCAGGTCAACTCTGGTAAAGTTAGATGACGAGATAGAGAGCTCGACAAGTACACCTATGATAAAGTTGAGTAAGAATGGAGAGAGTGGATATCCTTGATAGACACCACGCGATGTATGCAAATCACTCGGTTATTAACCACAGCCTCTAACATGCCCACATGTGCTCGAATACAGAGGCTCCAACAGAGTAATATACTTACTTGGCACCTCTTTTCAAGTGACAGACAATGTCATAAAGCCTCTCTCTTGACAGAGCTGTATATTGCCTCCAGGTCAAGAAATGTAGCTATTGTCGGGAGTTCACAAATATGTCTGCATTCAAAAATTTGGTGGCGGGTTTTCTCGGGTCTCACTTAGGCGTTTAATGATTATCTAGGTTAGGATCTTGAACAAAAATTTCCTCAGACTGATTTCTCTATTGTTATAGTTGGAGAACTCTTTCTCGAAGACTAGGGCAGTCAGTACACGGGGACTAATCATAGGGGATCATAACTGATTTCCATACTTTAGTTAACAGTAAACTTATGTAAATCAATAGTTTTTGACCACTTTTCTCAAATACTTCTTGTACTAGCCTGACTGATCTGGCTACCGTCCATCCTTTCAGGTTATTAGACGCTTCCTAACTTCTGCAGGATTTAAGGAGCTTTCTTATCGTTTCTTTGAGAATCCAAATGGATAGCAGGCAACGAAATGGTGTCTGTAGGCCAGTGTAACTGCTCCTCGAAGTGGTCCTGCCATCGTCTTCGTTTAGAACAAATTTCAGATCCATCCTTCTCCCTTACAGTCCAACTAACCACTAAAAGTTTAACCATACTTTCCTGAATATGCTTTAGTCGCTGCCTTTCGCACTTCTTGTGACTTTACCACACCTAACTGTTCGTGGTCATTGTGGGGACTGTTCACCAGTCTAAATTTGAGTTGCTTTTGCTTTAAATTGTGCTTGGAACTTGTTCGAATCCACTAATCCTGAAGAAGCCGTTAAAACCGACAGACTATTTCTAACTACCTTATGAGAATCAGACGTGGTCTTCAAGACTGTTTTAACAGTAGACTAGAAGTGAGTTAAAGCTTCGTCCAGATGAGTGATCTTGTTTAGTTTCGATAACTGTTTTGCCAGTTTCTCAGTGAAAGCAGCCTTACTGCTCTCATTCTCCAGCTGCAGTCGTAATGGTCGTGTCGCTACGGTTTTCCTACGTCCATTTTGATGCAGATATACGCTCAAACCAAGGCATATTCACTGTTCAAACACATGATTTGGAAGAAGTAACAGTCTTCCACCAACCCTTGCCAGCGATGACTTATAGTGATATGGTCTATCTGTATCCACCGTTGAGTTGGGCTTCGTGGACGTCAGTTCATACATTGTCTCTCTGTGTATCTGAAGTTTGTGCTGGCTAGAAATAGATGGTTGTCTAGACATGGTTTTGTAGGTGACCACTTCAGGGATTAAAAAAGAACCAGTTAATTGACTTTTGGTTTGACTTAACCCACCTAATTATGCATTAAAATCGGCCATTACTACGGCCACATCTGGAAGTTTGGTTTTCAATGGAAGATCAGATATTTTTTAGTAAAACTCATTCTGGAATTCATTCGGACTGCAGTCAGTGAGCGCGTAAACAGAGACTATAAAGAGACAACATTGGGTTTCACTATCCTTGTTAGACCTCACTATATCATTCAGGTGAACTGCACGTAGGTGACTGTCATCTTGGATTTGGCTGAGATATTCTTTTTCTACCTAAGCACTTATTGCTACACCTTCTGGTGTGTGAGAACTAACCCGAAGGGTGAATTTCGCAGATCCATCATGCTGGCAGGGTGAGTTCAAGTGAATAACCGCACCTGGATGACCATATGTATATCTCACAAACATACCACACGTCCATAGCCCAAGATATATTTTTGTCTAGCAACACTTATTATTTGATTTGGTTAAGATAATAGAAATTGGAAACAATGAAATGTATTTTAAACCATGATTCCAGAGGACCACAGAATTTATTCTATAAATTAGAATCGTTTTCAAGAAATGGAGAGTAAGAAGAAATGAAAAATGATATGGGAATTTTGACCAAGAACTGCGAAGAACTATTAGAGGACGAACACGTGAAGGGTTGATAGTGGTAAGAAGTAACCTGCATGCTGAAACCCTTGTGAAGAGAGAAAAGGTCCCGACTGCTCACACTATGGAAGGTTACCCTTTTTTCAGGTACCATAAAAGAAATTGGATTTGTGGTAGTTTTTTACTATTTGCTGACATACATCTGTTTCTCCGTTGTTATACTTGATCGAATTGTCCATCCGCTGTTAGCAAATGGGCTACTATGCGGATGCCTCGATATTACCTGGATATCTGCCATGATAATTTACTTGGTTATGGTTGATGGAGGAATCAAGAACACGCTTTTTGTCCTATTTGGGACTCGTCAGCTGGATGTATCTCCATTTCAGTGAGTGATGTTGTTCTAACTGATACCCAAACATCATACCCATCACTTCTAAAGCCAAAACACTATACACTAGGTGGCAAGGATAACGCTTTGGCGTTTGAAGTGATCGGTACTGGGTTCAAATCTCAGTGAGAACAACATCACTCCTTGGGGTGCTGGTGCATCCAGTTGACGAGTCAAAATGGGATTGGACGCGCGTTTTAAACTCCACGGCTCATTACAACCGAGTTATGGCCATAGAGCTTTAGAGACATGTGCTTGGAGCTTGGAACTTATAGCCTTCTTTGAAATTAGAAGTTTAGCTTTGACTGATTTTAATTCAGCTAGAAAAATAATGCCACTTGCAATGGAATACTGCAGATTAGGAAGAAGTTTGCCATTCTGGAGGTTAATCTTTGCTTGCCCCCTTCCGATGAGGAAAGTGGCATCAGCGTGTCACTGCTAATCATGTATTTGCTTTGAATGAGGTACACGGGATACACTACTGAACACTACGAGTAGTTAGATATCACTAACGATGATCTGTTGATTTAACTAGCTACATCCCAGTGATCTAACTACTCGACCGAGATTATTCACGTTTGGTGCCAAAGTCGTTATTCTTGTTTCCGAGGAAGTTTTTGAACATTTCTCATAGCTAGGTAGTTTTACAACAGTGCAACTTTGGTATTAACAGGCTTCCCGTTGCAAACCACTCTCTAGTCAAGGTGTGATCTCCTACACAGAAAACTCCTGAGCTAAAGACATATACTGTTGAATATCATAAGAGCGACTGAAACTGTGCATGATTTTTTCGCTCGTGAATCGGGTAATTCGTAAATAATTTGCAAATTAGCTACCTTATGACTGAATTCAGTGATCTGTGAGAATATTTCTACAACGCCACAGTACTTTAGCCACAAGTCAGTATCAGGGTGGTACCGGTTGGTTTGAAAATCGCGTTTACGTTGAAGTAAGAGTACAAACAACGTCACTTGAATTTTGAAAGTATGTTAGTAACCGTTGTGAGAATAGATAGTCTAGATTCCATTTACAGCTCCTGAAGTTGTTGTATGATCAATTAAAGCGTAAAAGTTAGATACGAAATCAGGAAATCAAAGTTTCCAACATAAATTTTCACCTGATATTGAAATTCATAATCACAGCCTACTGACAGTAAACAACGGACAAAAATAATTAGCTTTTAATGCTAGAGGCTAGTCTTACATATTTAAAAATAGAACCAAAAGCCGTATAGTTAAACAAAATTGGTAACTGGTCAGAATTTTCAATTTCAACGCGTATTTAATGTGTCAAACTTACCTTACTAAACCAGATGGCAAGTAACTAATCAGCGTAATTGCATCAGCTAATGACATGGCAATCATGTAAGCATAAGCTGCACCAGAAAATTGTGGTCCACAGAAAATAATCACGTTTAATATGTTCAGTATGAATCCAATAAAACATATGATAGGTTGTATGTAAAAATATATGATAAATTCTGCTAAGGAGATAGAACAATCACTGGATTTTTTAACATTTGTTTGATTACTGATTTCTGGTACTGATGAATTCGTTGTATTTTCTACTATGTATTCAATAGCAGTAGTATTCACAGACTCTTCACTATTGGTATAACTACACAGAAGAAGAAGTGTAAACGTAAATAATAACAAATTTTTTTTATTGTGGTGGTTATAAAACCTGTGGGTTATATATTTATCCAATGAAGCTGTGATAATCATAGTGACTGCATTCTTCAAGGAAGCAGGATGTAAGAAATAAATACCGTTATACTTTGAACTGATGTTATGGAATGTTCATTCATTTCAAAAATAAGGGTTGATTCCTACTGTTTTCATCCTTTCATTTTACCCGATACACTGTGAAGTCATGCAGAATTTGTGTAAAACTTATTGGTTGAATTTGAAGTCAACATTATAGGATACAGCAACCAATCAGATTGAAGTTAATTGCAAAATAAATTGAATCGTTCCTTAATGCTTTCTTTTCAGTTAAAAATGGTGATCTTTGATTAAATGTTTTCCTGGTAAGTTTTCAGTTACACCTTGATGGGATTTCCCACAAGCCATGGAAAATAAAAGTCAGATTTTCGTTGTTAATCAGTGTACTGCAGCATGCATACAAGGGTATAGTAAATGAGTCATATGGGATTTTTAAATGACAGGTCTATCCCCTTAATCAACCTTATTACAGGGATAAAAAAGTGGAAACAAAAAAGTCGTGGTGATGAGTAAACAACTGTGAAATTTTACCGTCAGTAAGTTTCAAGTGCTTGATTGTCTTCCACTTGTTTGGGGCTTCAACATTTAAGGATCAACTGCAGAATGTCTTGAGTAGTGAGGAGACTTACGAATTCTAAGGACTAGAAAGACAATTGAATTGATACTGAGTTTCAAATGTCTGTGGGACAGTGCACTGGTTCGTTCACTACGAAAGTTATTTAACCTATCAATAAAGCTAAAGAAACATTGATAGGATACTTGTACTCTAACTAACTTTCGACAGTTTCATTTATTGTTTAAAGAAGTGTTAATTTATCGTTTATTTTCCTTTTTTCACTGTTTACAATATACAACTGATAAATCGTTTTCAACTTCAAAATGAAGTGCTTACAATACACATGCTCTTTTCTCAAATTTTATTTTGTATCTGATAGAGAAATTTTGAGAAAACATCTCTTTGAGAAGCTGTATGAAACTAGTTTTAGAATTTTATTTACCATTTTCCTCAATTTACGAACACACACATATAGATAAAAAAAGTTCTGATTATCGGAATCAGGTTAAAATTATAAGATCCATTCAAATAAGATTTAACATGAACTAAAAAAGTTGAAAAGTTCCACACAGATTAGGTTATAAGTAATGGGACTTTTTCTTAATTAAATTAATTTACAGAAAACCGGCTATAATCTATGACTAAAATGAGAGAAGAAATAAACCGCCGTACAAACTGATAATGACTAAAGTGAGGATGCTTATATCATCATGCTGAAGAAACACATCACTAGTTACTTAGTAATATTGGCTGCTGAAAAAACAACTGTATTAAACAGTAATGACTGTTAAAATATGTTTTCAAGAGGTATATTCTGCCTCAGCATCATGATGAATTGTGCCATCGGTAAATTGTTTAAGCTGAGGATATGTTACTGTTCAAAAATAAGAATTCCAGGTGAAAGGTATCTATTTAGTGAAATTGTCTTCAGCTGTACATATATATGTATTTCAAGTTAGTATTCACTATGGAATGATATCAGTCGGAGAACTACGAATAATATGGGAGCATTTCATAGTTGTTTAGTCCTAATATGGGACTTCTCAGTGGTACTCAACAATGACTCCACCAGGTGTTGAAGCGAGGACTTTCATGTTCTGTAGCCTGAACTTTGGCAATGGGTTGGCAGCCAATGGTCAACACTTCCCTACCGCTGTCAATTCATGATGTGGGGTGTTTTTCATCCGATATCATAGCTTGTTTTGCCTCACCAATCATGACTTATCTGAATGTCGGAAAACCTCACCTTAAGGTATGTCACTAATGAGCACTGAACAGTAATTCAGTATGGAGGTTTTTAAGGGAATTATTGGTCTCAAGGTGGTTTTGGGTCACGCACTGATATCAGTCGGAGAACCACTGAAAACCTGAAAGCACTGAATAGAAGTTTTTGCCTGGTATGAGACTATTCAGGAGTACATAGAGATTACCCTGACAGGGATCGAATTCTAACCTGAAATCAATAAATCCTCAAAACTGAATGTAGATGTATGGTAACTGGACATTCTAGTCTATAGGGAAACTGAAACCAGGGGTGATATTTAGATAGGTAATGATAATAAACTTCATGGTTATAGTAAAGTTATTGGCCAAGCATGCGAATCCCGAATAATGACGAATAGTGGTAACGTGGGTTTTTGAGTTGTTCTAATTATTTTTGTAGCCTAAAAGGAGGTGAAAAAACTTTACAACTAATATAAAAACAATGTATCGATTGATGTGCATAAAACAGACCAAATAAAAAAATTTTTGTTTAAAGTAGTTGTCATTTGATAGACTGCGTAGACTAACACTTTAAACAAAGTAACAAAATTGGAGCCACGGGAAAAGTAAAAAGATACAGTAAAATTATGTTATGACCAAGTTGGATGTTCCATTTCACACTAAAGTCAAGCTTCACATCATGAGCAGCCGAAGTGTCACCCGTTTTTAAATGCTGAAAATGAAGCTAATGTGAAGTGCTTAGGCGACCTTAAACCCATCATATGCAAAAATTACTTTTGAATTTTAAACTTGGGAAAAAAGTCCTCAAAAAAGGATGAGTTGATTACTGATTCAATGTGTTTCTTCACCGTATTTTCATCAACAAAAATGTTGATTCAACCAATGTTCTGCAAGCTTGCTTTCAGGAAAAGAAATTTCATCTGCATTACAATATGCACTTCAAATATTCATTCCTCCACAGCATAAGGTCATATATCTTTGTGATAGACACTGAACTATTCAAGTTAGTTGTATGTCCACTTCACACAGTTTTTTAAGTTGGTTGATCATTTCAGCGGTAGCCTGTCGTATCTCTTAAAACACACTCTGAATAAAAGAATCCTTGATTGTGAACTTGAGTGAATAAAATATATTGAATGAGTATAGAAGGAAATTTATCATCTTCATCATCAATGATGACAAATACATTATTTATGTACATTTGTAGACATCAAAGCACTGAGTGGTTTGATTAAGTTCAGCGTTTCCCAGTCTAAAGATTGAAAAATCTGTCAATCAATATGATTGGAAATGAAGAAAATTTTAGTTTTATTACAATTTATATTTTACGAATTGAATGCTGATATGTCTAGCTTTATTTGGAAGAAAATTTTATGATCACACAGATATTTCAACCATTTTTCCATCAAACATTTCAGTGAATAAAATCTCTGGAAACATGTTACAAAAGTATATATATATATATATATATATATATATATATATACGCAGTGACCTTAGCATGACAAAAGTTATTCAAGTGTCAGAATAATTAGCTTCATACAGAAATGAAATATAAATCAAAATAGAAATGTACTTCAAATTACTATCTCATAAACACGGATTGTGACCGACTGGCCTATCTTAGGTGCTCTGACTAACCTGCAAAGAGTTTACAACTAAGGAGAACAAAATGTTTCAACAGTTCACTCATCCAGTATCTGATTGAAGTAGGATATCAGGTAGACACATTGATATATATCAAGAAAAGTATTTTTATTGTGGAAAATCACGAATCATTGCTAAATCGGAAAGCTTTCTTTTAACATCATCCGTGTGCAGATGACATTCACGGTTTTGTTTTGTTCTTATAACCTGTCATTTACTTTCAAAATATCAACATGGAAAAATAAGTTTATTTAGAACTCTGTCTAGAATATGCTTACCGACTAAAATTAAGCACTGCTAGATGTTGATTCGTTCTACCACAGAACTTTTTAAAAACATAATCCATAACAGACCTTAGTCTAAGACTCTTGGAAATCTTGAGAGTTTGTAGAGTGAATCAATTCACTGGGGTATTCAGACTGTTTTTGTTTCATCAGCCGCATACACCGCATTGTTATCACTCGACATTAGAAAAGAACACGTAATGCGTGTATGATGACATGATGCTAGGTAAATGTGATTTAGCTTATTTGGGGAATTTTGAACGCGCCTTGACCAACAAAGGGCTGGGTTGTTTGGAAAACCTTGCGCATCGAGATAATATTATTCATTGTATACGTGTATTTTACGTTTGTCATACTGTCGTAGAATATTAGAACAAATAAAATGAAATAATATTTTGTATTAGTCCTCAACGCTTCGATCTCACTAGGAAGACGTTTTACAGGAGTATGAATATGATATCAAATGTTTGGGTTAATATTGAAGTTTGGAACTGAAAGTGAACTGTATGATCACCTGGTTAAATCACTATATAATGAAAAAGATGAATAAATCGTTTGATGCTTGTAATTTTCCATTACTGTATACGGTTACCCGTTTCACAAGAGGTGGCTATCGTGTCCCACTAGCCTACAGGATAACGCTTTGGTATTTGAAACGATAGGTACTGGGTTTGAATCCCTGTAGGAACAACACTCACTGGTGTGAAGGTACATCAAACTGACTAGTCCTAAATAGAACGAAGTGTAAGTCCCGGATTCCACTGCTAACCATCAAATAAACTACAGTATGATGAATTTCCAGGCAGTAACGAGACGTCTCTATAGGAACCTATCTCCCACCATAGGTTAAGGAATAAGGCTGTGTGCAGCATTGAGAAATAACAGGTATCAAACGATATATTCATCTTTTTAATGTATTATTATCTAGTCGGATGATCATAATCCTCACCTGTATTAGAATGGGCTTAAAATGTACACTGAAGTGATGATTCATCAGGACGAGTAGAAACAAATGACTACTTAAGAGATATGAACGTGTTAGCAAAACACCATATAGAATAGTTTGAAATTTAATTGCGCTGAATCTTCTCCTTGTACGTTAATCAAAACTTCCTATGTCAGTCACTAATTTTTGGTATATTTGTAGGATATCCAAGTCATTCTTACTGTTCACTAGAGAAGGGTAAGAACGGATATGCAAAGTTATTGTAATGGCCTGCTCTTCATGAGAAAGTAAATCCTTTTGTTTTTCTTAAACAGTATTATATGACTTGAAAATAAGGCATGATCCACAGCAGCGGAGCCTTTTTCAAATTTTCCTACTTCATTAAAGGTTTTGGTTGTTGTTCGTAGCTTTAGCTGTGTTCGGTAAGACGTGTTAGCATTTAAAATGCTATCCAGTGCATGGGGCATCGCGTTCACTGCAGTCTG